TCAATAATTTGTTGTAATGAAACTATGGAATAAATGGCAAAGCTGGTCCTGTGGTGCATAGACGATTGAAATATGATTTCTTGACAACGTTTACAAAGAGATATATCTCAGTTTGCTTACTCGCCAGGAGTAGATGAAAATTTTAAAAAAAAAACCGAAGCCTTTTCTCAATTTTCTAAAAGTCATTCTTATATTCCAAATAGGTGTGGAGTACTATTTTTCATTTTAAAAGATTTAAACTGTAGACAATTAGCAATAATCAACTAACCTTGTCGTTTTCGCATTCGTTGCTAGTCACAAATGAAATAGGTTGCGATAAAGAGCGCAACACGGAGTGTTGACGATGAAGAAGTGGGTCAGTATCAGAAACGCATGTTTCAACTGTTGTTGTCAAGTTTTATCGACAACAACAGTTCGTCACTTTCGTTTGTTTTATTTGATTCGAATGGAAGGTTTGCTGGGGTTAGCAAAGGAGAAAGTGCAAAGTGAAAGGAATTAGAGTGAATTTAACACTTTAAAGAAGACAAAATCAAGCAAAGGAAACAATTTACATACAGAATAAATAGCGAAAATTGTAACGTATGGCTTCTAGGGTCAGGTAGACTATTCTTGTAGAAGAATTTACTTAATGATAAGCATATGGTTGCAACTCGTCCACTGTACGGCGCAAATCTTTTGCTGATCAAGCAATAGGAATGCGATGTGGCGCTGATGAATGTGGTTGGTCCGTGTTTCCGACAAGAGAGTGATGTTATTACAACCATCTGAGCCCAATTCTACAAATAAGATAGCTATACATTCATCAATCTGCTGCTGAGATAAAGATAATGATTATGAGGAGAAAGAAAGCGAAGATGATTTTAAGTGGTAGTCTATCTTACGTGCAGTCAGGGCTGCTGTTTTCAAGTTTTGGGCGAAATAATTACTGCTTCTGGTTACAACTTCAAATAATATATAATGTAAAATATGCCCATAAAGTAATTCAAGGACAAGTGCAATAAAATTGCAACTAGTGATAAATACGAAGGACATACCTTGAAGTTGTGCAAATTTTGGGAAAAAAATCTGCTTCAAGTTCAGATTGAAAAGAGCTAAATTTAAATTTTTATTTAAATCCATCTGGTAAGTCATAACGAAGTATCTTGAAATCGTGGTAGAACATCCTTACAATATATTCCATGAGAAAGCCACTGGCACGTAATCTGCAAACAAATATATGAATCGGGTCATCAAAAACATGCTAAGCCTGTTTAAAGTGTGGAATTCTGACATTAACGTAATCTGACCTTTCCTCAAGGAGATTTCTTGCATAAGACTGGATTGTGCTATGTGGAGTTCGACCTGAGGTGAGTTCATTGCGTATGAAGTCA